TCTCGTGTCGAGATGGCCCCTCGGTAAGTACATAAGGTTGAACTGCGTAGGATTGTTTCCTGTTGAGAGATTTTTCTCTTTGCATTTCAACTACACGTTGAATATCATTTGGTGACTGAAAAATTAATTGAAAAAATTAATAAATTTAATTAAGTAAATTGTAGAATATAACATGTATACATTTATAATGATAAAGACTTTCAACGTCTTTTTTATAATAACTTGCTATCATGAATTATTATCATTTGTTGAAGACAGCAAAATGTTTCATATTATTATATACATATATGCTTGAACAGTAGAAAAGAAAAATGCAAAGTAAAAATATATAAGTGCAATACAGTTTTTAACTTAATTTAAAGTATGTGTTAGGTATTTTGAAATAGAGAGAGTTGTAGAATACGACTTGTGTATGCTCGCGTGTGTGAGCGCGCGCGTGTGTTACCTCTTATTAAGTTTATTTCTTAATTCATAATACTTGACATCGTCGATTTTATAGAATCATTCAATTATTTTCTAATTGATTTAATCAAATAGAAATTTGTGAGAAAGTAATTTTAATTAACCACATATTAATTAGTGGTAACAAAATATTGCAAACAGAAATGATTGAAACAAATATTTATCAATAAGAATATTCTATACGAATAAATTACTCTAAAACAAAATAGTCAAAGATACTTGAACAACCCAGGTAGAAATCTGCCTCAATTTGCCGAGATTAAGTACAGGGCCTGGATAGAAAAATCCAATTAAAAATATCCGTTTAGGCCCAGACTACACCCTAGAAATTTACCTTGATTTTACCGAGAGAAAAATAGTCGGAAAAATCTACATGGGTCCTAGATTGCCACTGACAGATTTTTCCCTGATTTCCTCCTGAATAGATAGCACTAGTACCACATATTGCCGTGACGTGGCGACCGCGCGTTAGTTTTCCTCGTAAGTAAAAATCGTCCCGTATTAGTATAAAAGGCGAGCCGATATGATGCGAGAAATAAAAATAAATTAATTTTTTCGCAATAAATTTTCTGTATTATTAAAATTGCCAGATACGGTCAATAAAAATCATTGATGCTGTTAATTTCTGCTGGCGACTTTTAAGAATATTCTCATTAGTTAATTGAAATAATTTTTCTCTTTTTCAATTTTTCACAATTTCCAGTTTCCATGTAATTGTGTCTTTCTCGTTAATATGAAAACGAGCTTTTATACTCGTGTTCTGTCGCGTTATTGGAAACACACTTATGTAATCCTATTAATCTCAACTTGTCAGTTATGGTTTTTCCTGTAAGTCTGTACCCATGGTGAAATATCTTTGTATAGTGTACCTTTGAATAGCGTAACATTCGAACCTGCCAATCAATGATCAATGGTGAATTTGTCGTATCAATTTAATCAAGCGAGTCTGAGGAACCTTTCGCGTAACGTCACTTAAGAGG